GGATTGCGTGACGTCACACAGGTGAAAGTCCGGCGGTAGTGTGCGTGGTTGGAGCGTTGAAAAGAATGAAAGAATACGAAATGTTGCTTTCAGGACCACGAAAATTATTTTAGCCATGTAGAATATAAAATTAAATAAACACAATATACGATGACTTTATTATCCCACGAGCCGCTGGGGAGGGGGGACATAAATTTGCCTCCCCCTTTACGTTTTGTGGAATATCTCCGAAACCTGATTAACTACGAACGTGAAACTTGGAATAGCTTCAAATGAATATCTAGGCGATGTTTGAGAAAAGCTGAGTGGTTGTAGCACTTAAGATGACGTCACAGTGACGTCATGAAGTTTTGTCGTTTTCCGATACGGACCGTTTCTGTCATGAAACTCAACTGTAAATGAACTAGGCAGCACCTGCTGTCATTCTAAAACATCAAAGTACACTTCCAACTAGTTCCTGACCAACAATCGGTCCTTTATATTTGCTCTCGTAAATCGGATATATCGCGAGGAAACTGATAGTTGCAAATCTATAATTTGATGTCTGACGTCACTGTGACGTTATTTCAAATGGGATCGACACCAAATTTAGACACAACCTTGACTAGGTATTCAGGAAGAGGTTTGCAAAGTTTCGTTTCTCTAGCTCTTCGCCTTGCGACGATATCGTCGCAGAAGTAAGGGGGGCAACTATATGCCCCCCCCATCCCCAGCGTCCGGCGGGTGGCGCGGAGGCCCAGTGGCCGCCGGGGGGTTATCAGGCAGCAGTGTTTGATCTCGGCATAAATGCATGGATAGCAATGGCGTCATTAATTACAAACGCTCACACGGTCAGGTATTACTGATAACGTGAACAATGTGAGCGAAGATAAAGTTAGTAAGTACAACCTATTTTTTCACGCCGTTTCGGATCATTCGTTGTTGAAGTAATTGACAATTATTGCGATCTTTTCAAAGCACCAAGTCAGCCTTGATGACATGATGTTTTGCAGCCATCGAATTTCAGTTTCCTGCCATCTATTGTCCTTCCAACTCATGTCATCTTAAACTTCTTTGATTTTGATGTTTCTTACTTATGTCACCTTAAACGTCTTGAACTTTAATGCTTTTTATTTAAAGTACTGTTTATAAAAAGGAGAAAATATTTCAGTATCCTTCATCAAATGTTAAGCTCTAACGTCATATGAAATATCATTTGAATAGACGCTTTTTACAGCACCACTTCAAAGAACTAATAAACAACAAATGACTTATTGTTGCTGGTAACATCTTTTCGGTTGCTACTTGCTGGTAACAACGTCTTAGCTTATGTTCGGCTGCTGATTTTTTTTGCGGCAGTTCTTCATTATTGCATAAAAAGTCATCGTGCATCCCTTACTTATTTCGATGCCTCAATCACACTAGTTTTCCCGTCATGTTGTCAAAAGAAAAGAAACAGCAATTACTTCAAGTGACATCTTCCCTCTCTTTCTCTCACCCTCTTACCTGTCTTGCTTTTTTCTTTCGCGCCCTCTCATTTTTAAAGGATTTCTATTGTGTGCAGCGAGACAGCTATCAGAGCAGTTGGGATATACATGTTACAAATTATTATAAAACTGCATGTGAATCGATGTATCATTTAACCCGCGCACCGACGGGGGTCTGCGCCAACTTCGTACCGACGGGGGGGGGGCGGATGACCGCCCCCCCCCCTGAGATCTCGAGAACGAAGCAAGATAGCGACAAGCGGTAAACGGCATCGGATACGCACGGCCAAGATCTACAATTTTTACTAAGGTCATTTTCAGGTCAGGTCAAAGATGACGTCACAGGGGTCGAAAAAGTCAAAATGGCGGCGCTAGATATGGAGAGAGTTTTTCTCGAATAATTTTCGAACTAGTCAAGATAGGAACAAACTAAGGGCATCATCGTGATCCTCTCGTCAATCCGCATCGACTGATATATGTTGACCTCGAAAGGTCAAGGTCAAAGGTTGACCTCAGGTCACGTGACCTCGAGGTCATCATGTATATCATTCGATGCGTCTTGACGAGCTGAACACAATGAGACCATCCACGCGTCTTTATCTTGTTCCTGTCCGGAGTTATTGGCCAAAAACCTTTGGTGACCTTTGATGACGTCACATGACCTCACAGCTGCCCAACAGCAAAACAGACCTCAAGGTAGTGAAGGTTGATCGTATATGAAGTCATGTATGGTATATGGGGCCATTCTGACCCGTTTTAGTGGTAAAAACAGGGAGTTGATTTTTCCCCCATTGACTTATAATGGGGAGGTCGCGAAATTGACCTGACCTTAGGTCACCGATATCAAAATTCCGAGATATACAAATTGTAACTACTAATGACCTAATAATATCCTGCGACTTTCAAAGGCCTCCGACATCTAATGTAGCTCTGGCACGGTGACAAAGTTGCAAAAAAGTGACTTGAGGTTGGGTCATTCAAAGTGACCTGGTGACCTGACCTTAAAAGGTAGGAGGTTCAAACTTGCACACCATGTGTAAAATTGATGAGGTTATAGTCATACCAAATTTCGCGGCGCTACGCGCCGCGGTTTTCCCGCTATTCGCGAAAAACCTCAGGGGGGCGGATATCCGCCCCCCGTCGGTGCGCGGGTTAACCCTCGCCCGAACATGTCATTTTTCCTTCCTAAAACGCACATGGGGGTTGCCACCCCCCCCCCCCGCGCCATTTCGTCCCTGTTGGAGATAGAGCTTCGCGGTAAAGACCAAAAAGATTCTTTGGGAAGATACAAATCCAATGATACCCAGTTTTACCCTCTCAGGTCAGTCATTGACATTCCAGGTCAGGTCAAACTAAAAAATATTGCCGTTTTGGTCACCGTTGGACATCAAGTGCGCTGCTCATCATACACCGATGACGATGCCGAATTGTGGTGCCAAGGCAGCTAGATCCTCTTTGTCACACTATCCGACCAGGTTTTTACTGCTGAGGTCATTTCAGGTCAAGTTAGGTCAAGGTCAGCGTTATGTGTATTTATGTCTGTGTGTGTCTGTGTGTATAATGATGTGTGCACCGATTGATAAATGTGTCCACATTACATGAGATCATAAAATGAGAAGCTTTTATCAAAAATACAGTCAAAGAAACTTCACGAAAAGTAAATTCAGCTTGCCTAAAGCGCAATGTTTTATATGACCTAGGACTAGGTTGACCTTGACCCTGACCTTGACATCTGTACATCGTCGAACAACATGTTCCATGATAAGTGGGAGGTAAGACTGGCAAAAAAGGCCGAAATCAAGTTGTCAAAAGCTCACAAGACCCATCGCCAACGCAAGATATTGGATATTTGTCATTTGACTGATGACATGACCTAAAGAACAAGGTAATATCTCCGAAACCAAAAACCACAGAAGCTTGAAATTTGCAGTGGACATCAAGAAAGGATAGAGTAGCAGCTATACAAACAATCAGGCTTCTGGCTCTAAAAATGTGGCGCGGCGCTACGCGCCGCGGTTTTTTATTCACACGCAAAAACGCGTCAGGGTGGTAACATATGCCCCCCCGCTGGGGCGAAGGTTAAGATGAAAATTAAGAAATGTTTTTGAAATTTACAAACATTTGAGAAGCTAACACACATTTTTACCGAACCTAGTTATAACAATGTGGTTATTGGAGAATTCAAATAAGTATCTCTTCCAAACAGCGTTCTCACGGTGCATAAAGACCGTGCCGGTTACATGCCATAGGAGAGCAGCTTAGGGCCGGAATATCAGAGACGAAGCGCTTCAAACCTAATCCGACCCGGGTGATTGATGGGACACTAATCTCACCACCTAATGTCCTCACAGAAGACCACCGGCCGGTGTCAACGCGCCGCTAATAGCTCCCCGGCACGGACGGTGGCGCGGCGCAGTGGGGGTCAGATGGAAGGGCTGATGGGAAGATTGGAATCCCTCGGGGTCAGGAGGACCGGCAGGTACTGGTCCGAACTTTACCCCTGTGACTGTCTTATCAGCTAGTCTGGTCAGTGAAATGGACACCCCTGTGAGCCCCCGGTGCGGGTCACGATAATCCCCCGACACCGCCGACCACCCGAGGACTGATTAGACAAATGAGGGCAGGGCATACATCAGAGATCGACGCTCCCATGCTCTAGGTGACTATAACTGTAAATATTATGTGGTATACAAATATGTAGAACTGGGCAGAAAATACCTCAGTAACATAAAAATCATACCATTCACTGAAAATATATGCCGCATTAACAATTGAAAGTTTCAGTTTGGCATCTTCATCACTTTCTGAGAAATATTGATTAAAAGTTGGGAACGTTTTTTTCTGGGCCACCCGGTATATATTAAGCTGTTGCGTTAAGCCTGCATTCGCATCTACACACAGAAAAATATTAACACCGTTAGCGGTGTAATTGCACAGTACAGTCTGTCTTAAAAGTACCGCGCAAAGTGACGGTGGATCCATCGAGCCTGACTGAGCAAGGGCCTGCTAAATTTGGGTCACTGAAGCAACTGACATCCTTATCCATTCCCTAGGTCAATTGGTCGGTGACTTTTAAATTAAAACAGGCCCTTTCTCGGTCAGGCTTGATGGATCCACCGCCACTTTGCGCGGTACTTTTAAGACAGACTGTACATATCTGAGCACTTGAGGAAAGTTAATTTAGTCCCTTCCCCGCTTAAATTACTCGCGCTTCTGAATGAACACCAGGAAGAGGGTAATAGAACACTGTTAGGAGGGTTGGGTGTTTTACTACATGTAGCAAAACACCCAACCCTCCTAACAGTGTTCTATTACCTTCTTCCTGGTGTTCATTTAGAAGCGCGAGTAATTTAAGCGGGGAAGGGACTAAGTTAACTTTCCTCAAGTGCTCAGATATGTACTGTGCAATTACACCGCTAACGGTGTTAATATTTTTCTGTGTGTATATCAATATCTAAGCGATGGAAAGAATATGTCTTTAAAATATGAAGAAACAAACAGCAGGCACTGGATTCTGCTTTCACAAAGTTGTCCTTCCTTTGCAGTATATTTTAAATGCCTTTTAGAAAACTGCACACACCACACTCATAAATCACACAAACACGATGAATTGGCGATGTTACGACGCTCAATATAATTAAATTAGTGGCCGTATCCACCGTGCCCGACATCAGCGCTGTACCCGTAGGAATATCCACCGCCGTATCCGCCGTGTCCACCGCCGTATCCACCGTGTCCACCGCCGTATCCGCCGTGTCCATATCCACCAGATCCCTGGGCCTGAGCGTAGACCTTGGCGTGTCCTCCGACAAACTTGCCGTATCCTCCGTATCCGCCGTATCCACCGCCATGGCCGCTATCAAAACAAAATAGATCCTTGTTATTTGCATACCTTCCAGATGTCAATCAGATTCCAACTTGCTTGTGTACCACCAAACCGATACCAACTTGGAGTTAGGTATTTCAGTCCTAGTGCTTTTGGTATTTTGTGTGTAACCATTATGAATGATCATATTCGTAAAATGGGAGTATAGGAGCTTGGGATTTAAAAAAAAGAAGGCCTTTCTCTTAATTTTTAAAGTTGTTTTGGTTTGTGGTATTTTCCAATGTTTTTGGTTGATGTTTGGTTTGGTACTATCGGTAATCGGTATCCTGATTTTCGGTAGTTGACATCACTAATACCTACACATTTTTATACATCACAAGAAACAAGACATAACAGGATAGAATATCTCCTTTTTTGGGTTTTGAATGAAAAGGCATTGAAGCATCACGTTGAATGTCATGACTATGAGCAACAACTATATTTCAGTACGAACTCCAGTTGGTTACATGTTATTCAAGGGAGCCAGCAAACAATAAACAACAAATAGCTCGAACTTCTTTGTTTCATACTTACGCATAAGTGGCGTGAGTCTGGTGAACTCCGTATTTGCTGCTGCCCCAGGGATTGTACCTGAAAAAGGTGCGTGGGTAAAACGAATGAAAATCACTTGTGACACTTTACCAGCTTTCAATGATTGGCTACTATGGCAAATTGAAAATCAATTTAGTAAAGTGGCTCGTATTGCCTAGTGGAGAAGCTATTTTTTACGATTGGTTTAGGTCAAGAATGACTCAAGGGATCTGGTAGGTAATCCGTTTGTACTGGCGAAGTTGAAAATTTACCTTGTCAGTTGTGTGTAAATGGTTCAATGTTTTAATTTACTTACTGTTGGACGCTGACGTGGCTCTGGGCACCATATCCACCACCATATCCACCGCCGGCAGCCGCGGCGGCCACACACAGGGCGAGAACGACAAACTGAAACAAAGGAGGATGATTAATTCTGGCGGTTCGCTCAGGATACAGAACACAGTCACGGATAAGACACTGTTATTCTGGAATGATTTCCATTCTAATTATCCTTATTGGGATGAATGTATGTTTTTTGCTGCTAAAGTAAGTCATTCGACTTTCAGGTGTTGCAGGAGCGCGATTAAACTATTTTTAGCTTGCCTTGATCATGTTGTGTTGCTCGGTGACTGGTCGATGATGATGACTGTGCCCCTGCTCCCCGCTGTCCGACCATTTATACAGTCCGTGTCCACCCCGAGGGCGGGGTCGGGTCGTGACTTGACCGGTGCCGCCGGGGGACGGAAGGTCAACCCTCCCCTCCTGTCCCACATTTCCCGCTTGTTATCAGCGCTGGGACACTGGTGACCTTTAGACGCGTGTCCCGCGGTCATTGAGCTGAACGGTCACACCTAACGCCACGATCTACCCGCTACAGTGGTGCGGGCTGCAGGTAACCTTATCTCTGTAGTGATTTCACATCGTTGGGTAATTGACAAATCTCCTAATGGTAATGGTTCGTATTCAACCAAGTGTGTAATTACACATATTGGGTAAAGGTCATGGCGCGTGTAGAATTTACACGCGTCATGACTACATACACTGAAAAAAATAATGACACCTAAAAGGGGTGTTTTTTGAAGCGTACCAAAAACGCGCAGTTTTCTGGAGTCCGATTACACCCGGAATCAGACACTTTCTAGGGTATTATGACACTGGTTGAGGGTGTATTTTTACACCGTACGTCGTCAAATGATTCCCGGAATCATACACCTTGGCCGTTTTCACGACGGAATAGCAGGCATCTATTTAATCCCCATTTGATCCTTTAGTTCCTCAGGAATTTTAGTAGTTCTTTTTAGTAGGTTCCCCAGCTTTCGAATGAATGGTGCGTTAGTTTGCTATTTTTCTATTAAATATCACATCGATTTACTTTATCTAAGGATTTATCACTAATATCAACATAAAGCGTAAGCACAATTATAAAATTATGAAATTATGAAATACTAGTACAATAGTTAAAAAAAGATACTGAGTTGCCAGGCTACAAAGAATATATTCATTTATGGCGCACGACAGACATTTAGAAAGCAGCGCCCTGTTTTATTGCACGCTGCTAGCCGCTTCCATTGGGTTTTGCAGGCCGACGTCATTGGTCGTTACACGTATGATGTCACGCGACTTGTGGCCTGTCACGGCTCTTTAATGATCTCCACTAAATGAATGCAACAATGGCCTTTTAAGTTGATCTCTGTGGCCATCTGTCTATGGAGCGACCAATATGAAAGTTGGGCGATAGGCGTTATCACAAGTGTATTCGCGGCCATTGGGGCGACGTAAGAAAAGAAGAAAACAACTGGCCCCAAGAACTTTAAATTATCAGTTAGCATGCACATTTTCCTTGATGTGTAGAGAATTTACCATAAATTGTTAGAGAAAATTGCATATAATATCTTCCATTTATGCTTTTTTCATCGTTTGCACAATGTGTTCTTTTACTTAGCTAGAAACACTAATAAGAAATAGTTCCCGCACCCGTCAAGAACAATAGGGAAGGCTTGAAGTTAATACAATAATCTAAACGGTTTTGTAATCTATGTGAAGACACTTCTAAAATTGCCTGTAGAAATATTGAAGGCAAAAAGTCAACTTCTTCACAAGACTGTTGTCTATAAACCTATTCAACGTGTGACAACTCAGCCGGTATTTCTTTGCCTACAGCCCAGCTTTCCCTATGTGACCGATAGAGGCGCTGCTATCGATGTCCGCCCGTGCCGCCTAACGGTGAATTTACCGGGGTTACATGACTATGAGCAAGCAAATGTGTATCAGGAATGGATTTAGGTGGAGAATTGCGCTGGACCATGAGTGCTCGAACGCTCCCAATTCCACGCCGGTTTGTCTTTGGAGCCGAGACAGACGATGCGGGTCAAGGTCACCGCTGGGGTAACGGTGGATTGGCTGCGCCCGAGCACCCGTAACGCGGCACAATTCTCCATCTATGGATTTTCCTATTCGCTCAGCATTGTGATAGGCGTTCGTAATAGCTTTTACTCTGCTCATGTACCTATCCCCGGTTATTTAAAATAAGTTTTTGTGGGGGAATATCACGGATTTAGGTACTCGGTGGCCCTATTCACGACTTTCAAAGAATGCTCCGATAACTAAACACCGCACAGACCTACTGCATTAGTGAATCTGACAGAAGGTCTGTGGAATTACATCCCCCCTCACCACACCCCTAAAAACTCATCCAGTGTCCAAAACCACTTTTATCGACTCGCCAAAAAAAAAAACAAAAAAAAAAACACACACACACATACACACACAAAGCATGGGGCATGTCAGCTCTCAGTTCATTTATCATTGCCTTTACCATGGTTCAATTGCATTGCGCGATTTAAAGCACGTGAGTGCCTATATAGTATATATGTAGAAAATAATATCTACAGCAAAACATCCAAAATTACAAAGGCTACAATGCTTAAAAAGTAGGTTCATCAAGGAAGCCCATTTTTACTTGCGTTGTGTTCCCAACCATGCGATTCCAACGCGGGCTATTCGCAACGTCTGTTAAGGCACGTTAACAACTGACAAGCCGCCACCGCTGCCACTTATTCATAGATGGTTGATATCGCAGCTTGGGCGTCAGCAGCGCGGCCCACAACGCGTCGGCGCCAGCGCCCGCAGCTGTTGGCACTCGGCAGCCGGTGTTGCGACTTAACGGCCGGCCGGCCCCATGAAGGAGAAGCTCTTGGTGAAGCTTTGTGATCGCCTCATAGCCGCCTTGGATGTCATCTTTCTTGGCAGATCCATCCGTTCAGATGGTACGGTGCAGTCTGGATAAAGGACGAAGTCCAACGCCGCTAACCCCGCGACCGCCACCCCACAACGTGGCCGCAGACCGAACGGGCGTGAGGGCCGTAAGGGCCACCCCGCCATCCGGTAGGTGGCTGAGCAGCCGGGCGCAGCGGCGCCTGGGCGGCGGCCGCGCTGAGATGAAGTCCCAAACCGCCATGTCGCCATCACCGCCATCACCATTGCTGCAGCTGTTCCCAACCGCCTCAATCGCCGCCGTTTTGCCAGCAGTCGCGCCGCGGAATGGCAGAAGCTCCAGAGTAGCCTCCAGCGCCCCTCTCCGCACGTGTGCAGGTGCACTGCGGCCGCCGGGTCCGACGTCCAGGCAGAACATGATATTTCCATGCTGCTCCGACGGTGGGCTGGTCTTGTTTGGGCGTTCCTCCACTGTGACGTCGGTCACGCCTGCCCCGGCCAGGGCGCAGAGGCCGACGTGTCACCATCCGGTTGCAGTCCTCAGTCGGGTCGCAACGTGTACCTCTTCCGCAGCGTGGAGCGCGCTCCCGCTGGGCAGCGATACAGCCAAAAGTAGCATAGCATGCGGGCGGCCAGCGCTGCGCCGGACAGCGGACCCATGCCGGGGGTATGCCGGTCTCGGCCATTAGCGGGGTCGTCGGGGCCGAGGCTGTACATACAGCTGGTGACCGCGTGAGCCGCCAATCGAAGCTCACGGCTTATAAGCTCGACGCGGGCATCACACGCCGTCCCGATGGGAGCTCCACGACGCCGCCGCGAACTCCAGCGCGGCTCGCAGCGCGAAGACCAGTACGGACGGCCGGGGCAAACGGCGTGCGGGAGTCGCAGGCGACGTTCTGCGGACAGAAAGGGTTGGGCATAAGCTGGTCGGCAGGACACTCTTGAGCCGAGCCTTTGATGTAATTACAGATGATCCAGAAGCATGCACAAAAATTCATGACACACTATTCTCATTTATGTATTTGCTACATATGATATGATATACCAGCTCATGATCAGTGACGCATTCTGGGCAATATGTTCTAAAGTGAAGTAACTGAAGTTACAGCTTAAAAGCTTAAAAAACAGCTTAAAAAACACACACACATTCGATAGCTTATGAGAATAACATGCCTTGTGTGCTTAATGCAGGAAAATATTTTTTTTCACTTTTTTAGAAACAGCAAAAGAGTTGTCAACAAGCCATGTCAACTATCTTAACAATTTTTATGGAAACTGCTCTAGCTAGCTTGAAGTTCCACAACGTTTCCGGAGCACCGTACCCAAACTCAGTTCATGTTACAAGAAAAAAAACAGTAATAATCTATATTACTATTTGAGGAGGGTGCGTCTGTCCGTTACCGAGGTCCCGACTTGGTGCTGCTTTGCGTGGACTACAGGCCAGACCGTTGCACCTAGCCCGGTGAAATTTGCAAAACTCATAGATCAAGGATGCGCGACGTGCCTTTGAGGGGTCTCAGCTCGATCGGATTGATAGGGAGCGCGTGGCGCGTGCCCAAAAAGTGCAAATTCGCGTCATAGACTTTACATGTATAAATCGGCTTGCAAAATCGGGCAAAAATGGCTAAATTTGCCCGACACGGGTCCGGTCCCGGTGCCATATCTTGGTGACCAGGGGTCCGACCGGCACGGGGAAAACAGCGTCGTGTAGAGAATCGAACGGGCTATCGAATGATGTGCGATGCAGAGGATAGCACGCGCCACGTGCACCGGGGAGGGCTCTTTATTTGAAAAATTGCGGTTTTTGACGGATTTTGGAATTAATTTTATTTTTAGGTGACCGTTAAACGGAGCGAGTTGAAACAACGCCTCTTGGCAAGAGAAAGGTACCGCCTCTCATATAAAAATTGTGAAAAGCTGATTGATCCAAATCAAGGTGGTGCAAATCACAGGAGAAAATGGTGTTTGTCAATTTTTTGCCACTTTATTAATCACACGGGTTTTGCTCAATGATCTGGTGTCTCTGGCAATAAAAAATGGCACCGTTGGAAAGAGCATTCAATTCTGTCCAAGATTCACTCTTCATGTTTGCATGATGAGCAACAGTATTCTTAAAAATGTGAATGTTCCAAACCATTACATTGTCATTTTTAGCGAAATTCAGCGATGGCCCTCAAAAGACTTCACGCCAGTTTTCGAATCATTCTTAAGTAGAACGCATGATAATACGACACGGGCACCTCGATGCGATGTATCTTTTTGTTTTATTACAAAATGCTTGGCCGTCAAAAAGCAATCGAACGAAATGGATACCAACCAAACCGACACAGACCAACCCAATACCCACGGGTCAAAAAATCCCCCCTTCGCGTTGCGGAGCACGCGGGTACCCCTAGTGCCTCCTAATTTTGAATGAAATATAGGTATGAGTAATTT